TGGCAAGGAGAAAAATGAAGGTGTATCCTTGACCTTTAGGTGAACTCATCCCTGTTATGAATGGAAAAAACAACTATGACCACTTAAAAATTGGGTTGAATTTTGCATGAAATGAGCATAAAGGTCAAATGAATTTCTGTATTAGTTATATTTTTTTCACCTTTGACTAGTAATCATCAGCAGTATGGAAATAATCTCATTCCTCGTATGTGCGTGTGTATCAGTGATATCCTCCCCAGGTAGAAAGTGACTAGCCCAAAAGTCAATATTAGGGGTGGGTGGGAATTTGTTTGTCTGTTTCGCTGTATTTTTTTGCTCTTGTTTTTCCCATGGGAAAATAATTCATTTTGGTGAAAAGATGTGTTCCTATTGCATTCTGAACATCGATCGAATTGAGGTGTGTGTTTTCTCCTCCATTTTGCATGCATTCGTCTCGTTCTTTATTTAAGGAGATATCTCCATAAACAACCTGTTTCAACCGAGGGTAGATAGACTTCGATCTTCCTCCTGAATTGTTCCCACGTGGTCATAGTCTCTGCCAGGTAAGTCATATTCACTGACTACTTCATGAGGCAGGAGTGCTCCTCACAAAAGTGAAGGGGTGAACTCGAACACCTGGCGCTTACAACCGGACTAGTGGACATGGGGGTCAATCTACCTAAGGGATCTTGGAAATTCTGATTCGGAATGTATGGTGTAGATGAGTTCCACAATCGGAAGGGATGGAATGGCGTATGAACGTGTTTGGGACACTAAGGACCATGGTAAGGTAGGTAGCTGGTGACACTGATCGACTTCGTTGTGGATTATACTTCGTGTGAAAGGCTGGAGAAGGAGGTGGCCCGTTAAGACAACCGCCTACCTGCTTTGGTCTAGGCATCGGAGGATTATCCCAGCTGTCGCACAAACTATGATATTTTGTGTGACACATTTGTTGGTGCCTATAATGTTCCAAGAGTGTGTTTTAATAGAAACAATAAATTTGAGCAGACTCAGTCAGTATGTTTTAGGTAGACATGCAGTATTGTTTTATCATTCCACTTTGTAATTCTTCGCTCTCGATGAAGAGAAATTCTGAGTCTACACTCTGTATGTGTGTTTAAACCGGTGTTGCAGCTCTGTACCTTATTAACTTGAATGTTTTAATTATTAACTATTGGGTCATGGTTTACTGCCACCTCACTGCACACTTCTTAAGGTTTGGACAACTTTTGCTGAGTTAAAATTCATTATTATTATTTCCCCGACCAGATGTCGCCGTCTACCATGCGTGCACCTTCATCCACATCTTTTGTTCTTATGACTAATAAGGTAAGCTGAAGCGGGATTTGAACTCAGAACCCATTGGAGTGCTTATAAGTCACATGGGTCACATTCACACCAAGTGCAGTTTTGTTAAATAACGTCTGTGGATTATCTGGTGTAGTAAACAGATGGTTATCTTTAGTAAAAAAGGAGTGTATGTAACAGGGTGGAAGTTGGCGTTTATATACAATCTCATTGGGACTGAGTTTTCTATTCTGCCCTAATATTTTAAATTATTTCCACTCAGGACTTCAACTACAAAATATAGTTCAGACATCTGAAGCTTTCTGTGATAGTTTAATCGACAAATCAGTACTACCTAATGATGCAGAAATAGTAAGGTTGAAACCTTGCATACATACAACTGTATTATTTCAGTTTATATCTGATAATCTGAAAACACTGCGTGTATTTATACAACACTGCGTCATCGACTTTTACTTTTATCGTTAGTGGTACACACAAACGATATAAAACGTATCCTTAAGTGGTTTTTTGTCATTCCTTTGCATTCTGAATGGAATTTAGGGTTTCAAGCTGTTCTGAAGTTTCGCTAGCTGTGGTGTCTTTGTTTTTACAGGTTGTAGGCATAGTTAAAACATCGCTTACTCACTTAATACTAGTAGGATTACTAATCTGTCCAAATCATATTATATATATTCACAGTTTCATTTACCGCGTACAAATGAAGGATTATCACAGTTTCTCAGAGAAATAAGCTCTATTCAAAAATTTCGCTGAAGAAGCAGCAGCGAAGGCAGGACTCCAGATGAACACAGAGAAGATGGAGGTGATGAAGGTAACCAACCAATAGCGACCACTACACGGAAAGCATTTCCATCAGGTTGCAGACTTTGATCAACAGCTGCCTTCGCTGGCTCCATACTGAACATCAAATGACTGGCCAGAAAGAATTAGTAACAAGAAACTCCAGGAATGAACCAGTCAGGCACCTATTGCATCAATACTAGATTCATAGGTTGAGAATTATTTCAAAATACTCATGGATAGAATAATAAATAGATATATTTGTGAGATAAAATGGCATAAATCTGATGCAGTGAACAAGGTGGAATAATTTTAAGTTCTATGTATGTTTGTCTAGCTAGTTTATTTTTCAATAGATTTCATGCTCCACTTGGAACCTAGATTATCTTATTGATTACTGCTTCTGCTACTACCCACCAACTAATTTTGCGTGCTTTCGTCCGTGAATCAGTAGTAGAATGCTTACCAACCAGTGTTGATTGCTGTCAGTTTCCACACCAATTTTGGAGTAAATTGACGGCTGCTCTGATATCGCCATCTTTGCTGTCTGTGACTGTGAAACGGCTTTGTCCGAGTAAGTGAAAGGGGAGATTTCCTTTAGGTTTCTCCAACTGATGATTGGCACTTCACCTTCATCACCTATGTGTTTCTTCTCTACGGTCACTTAAAATCCTGTATTCTCTGACTCTTCTCCCAACTTGTTGGTTTTTTGTAAATCTTGGAGTTTGTGAGACACTAATTATAAATCATCCGTACAGTTCAGATCTCCTATGGTCTTCTTGTTCCCCATAGTCTGTCTGAAAATTGAGTGCTATGAAGATAATTAGGCATCACATCTTAGTCAGTAATAGCTGTCTTGAAATTAATTATTTTCTTTGAAGTCACTACACAACACAACAGGCTGACAGTTTATTCTCGTATCAACCTATTTCAACTAGATGTTCACTAATAATTGGATAATAATAATAATAATAACTGGATATTTTGGCAGTTATATTTTCCTGTCGTAAAGATTTAAGCTTAGTGTGTCATAGTGCCTTCAAACTTCATTTAACCTACTCACCCTATCGATTTCTCATATTTATTGTTCATAATTTACGAATTTTTTTACGGCTGGTATGATACTACCCAGTTGCCTAGCTAGGCTGAAGTAGATGGAACGGGATTCGAACCAAGGACCCACTGACCCAACTGGGTTTTTGTTGTAAGCGTGTTGAACTATCGAAATCATTAATTTTCCATATCTATAAAAATTAACAGAACAGATAGTCAAATTCTTGGTTTGAAAATTCATTCACGACTTGCAATCTATGCAGTTCTCACAACAGTAACACACACATTTGAAAATCGAAACGATCCAAGTCGGCTAGATCGCTCGCATAAATGATGATCAAGAAGGCAAGCGTAAATGCAAGACGTAATATTACTACTGATTGATTGGCATTAACTAGTTTGTATACCATATGCACACCAACTAGTCAGCAGTGTTTGCTAACCAGATCTAAGTGATATAAATACCCAATCGAGTGTAAATTGCGTATTAATTTGCAAACTTCGAATGTGATTTCGGTGAATTACCAGTTCTTCCAAGTAGCTAGCGAGAAATCGAGTGGTTTCAATTTATACGGCTCCATATACACCACTGATGAGCTTGACTCCTCCAAACAAGCGAAATGACTATCCGGTGTTTTGATATCACTGATTTGGTTAGGAAGCACTGCTGCATAATGTGTGGGATATCCAACTGTTCATATCAGTCAATCAATCAGCCAGCAGTATATAGCTCCCTGCGTTTATTCTTCCCTTCTTAACTGCCGTTTATGATATCTAGCAAATCACATATTATGTATGATCTGAACAATTGTGGGATCCAAAGGAAACTGTAGTGAAGTTTCACCTCCTCAAACTGTTTAAATTACGAATTTAATCTCAATTTCTAAACATTCAAATTCAAAAATGAAAAGATTTGTATTATTATTATTATTATTGTAAAAAGGCTGTAGCAATTAACTTTTGACCATTAAGAAAGTCCTAGTTTCAAGTAGTGTGGCTGTATAGTATTTTAGCCTCATAGCCTGATAGCCTGAATGTTTTCCAGAAAACGGGTGTATAGCGTATCTGGAGAGATTAACCTCCAAAGAGATAGCTACTGAACATAACAATGTATCGATAGTAACATTTTCAGAGAATAAAAAAGGAAAACATTTTTTGTCGATATTACGGTTGCTTATCGACTAAATCATTAAGAGTTATCGATTGTCATTTGTGTGTAGTAACTATTCTAAAACTAGACTTTTCTATAATAATTTAGACTAATAATCATTAAAGGTTTTTATTAATATTTTTGCTGTTAATTAATTTACTTTTTATCAAATAAAAATGAATGACTTTCAAGTGTTGCTTTATAGTAATTTGATTGATTTAAAGAAAATATTAGATCATAGTTTGACATCGGTTACACAGAGCTATCGTTCGTTGGTTTGGGTCACTTGACTCCAATGAGGACGGTATCCAGGACATTCAGGTTGTGAACTGAGCTCGTTGGCATTCATTCAGTCCTTGGAAAAGAATCTAGTGCCCCTTGAACAGTAACTTCTGTCACTATTGGATATACAGCGCAGTTGGTAGCCGATGTTATCATTGAGTATTTGCCGTCACACTTGCAGACCACCGACGCAACTGGGCACTTTTCACTCACCTTCAAATATTTGTTTGTAAGAGTTTGATTGATTTTAAGATAGATGAAATCATAAGTTCCATTCCTGATGCAGTGATGAGTGTATAGTTCTGAAGAGTCCTTGCTCAGGAGATAACAGTTGTTCAGTACCCTATGGTTTCAATAGTTCCTTTTACATGGTGTCACATCCTGATCTAACTAGCATGTTTTTCAATTCTTTAATTTTTCTACTGTTTCTTATCCTTTTTAGATGGTTTCATGTTACCTCAGATGTTATGGTTATGCAACCAGTTGGCTCTGATATCCACGATCCACAGGGTCATTCATCCTGGCCAAATAATTATGAAGCAATTACTTTGGATAGTGGTCGTTGGCTTGAAATTCATCTAGGCTATTTAAATACCACCACTCATACTATTACTGGTACTAGCAATCATTCAGATGATAACAATCAAGATGATAGATCGAAACAGACCGCCAGTGATTATGGATATCCTCATGTTAATAAAGGTATATTACCAATAGTAGTTATGTTAAACCAGTTAATGAGAAATATGCCCTTCTTATATTTTGAGTTATAAAAATTTCAATTGATTAAACATGGTAATTAAAAATGCTTAAATATTGATTAGTTATTATTATTATTCCCTTGCGTTCCGAGTGGAACATATGGCTTCAACAACACATCTCCACTTTGTTCTGTTTTTTGCCATCCTCTTCAGCTGGGTCCACGATTGACCAAACTCTCACACGATCTCCTCTATGTCAACCTAGGACAACCCACCCGTCGCTTCCCATATCGATTCCACTCGAGGTCCTGGCGTGCGATGTCATTCGGCGGCCTCCTCATTGTATGCCCGATTCATCTCCACTTTCTCCTAAATATTTGTTGAGCGATCGGCTCTTGGTTGGTTTGTTCCCATAGTTTCTTTTTGCTTATTCTTTCTGACCATTTGATCTTAAGTTTGGAGTCAGAGAAGGCAGCTGTTGATTAAAGTCTACAACCTGTTGGAAGTGGTTTTCGTGACACGCAGTGCAAGCTTCTGACCCATATAGAAGAACCGGCTTCACATCGGTGTTGAAAATGCGAATGTCGTTCCTTATGCTGAGTGTGGAAGATTTCCAAACTGGGTTTCAGATTGATGCAGACGTATCTTGCCTTTCCAATTCTGACTTTGACATCTTAGTCCGTTCCGCCTGTAGTTAAGACAATGCTTCCCAGATAAGTGAAGGAAGTGACCTCTGTTAAATCTCTCCCTCTGATGGTGATTGGTGCTGGTTGTTGTTGTCGTCGTCGCTGTTGATTGGTTATCTTGATCACCTCCATCTTCTCTGTGTTCACCTGGAGTCCTGTCTTCGCTGCCACATCCTTCAGCCAGTTTTTTAGTTTTTGCTTGCAAGTTTTCTAGATTGTGTGGCAGTAGACAAAATTCATCTGCGAAATCCAGATCTTCTAGAATCTCCTTATCAATGGTCCAGTGTACTCCTGTCTCTTCTCTCCCCACAGTCTGACGCATAATCCAGTCTACCACAATTGAGAATATCATCAGTGATGATAGGCAGCCTTATCTTACTTCTGTATGCACTTCGAACGCCTTGTTGAGATTTCCGTTGTGGATCACATGACACGTGGAATTGTTATTTAGCTGTTGAATGAGGTTGACAAAGACTTGAGGTACGCCGTAGTGTTGAATTCGTTTCTAAATTACATCTCGTTCAACGCTGTCTGGTGAAGGCCTTTTCGAAGTTGCTGAAGTTGAGGCACAGGTTTGACTGTCACTCTATGCTTTGTTCGATGATGATGCGTAGAGTTGCAATTTGATTAGCACATGATTTGCCTATGTCGCACTTATTTGGCAGTTTGACGAGGTAGCCAGCCCTTCTTCCAATTAGTAGGCACCTTTCCTACTTTCCAAACTTTTTGCAGTAATGGAGTGAGAACATCTGCCGTAATCTCTGGGTCCGTCTTCAGTGCTTCGGGAAAGATGCCGTCTGGTCCTGCTGTCTTCCCAGCCTTCAGTAGCTTGATAGCATTAAGGATTTCTGATTTCGTTGGAGGAGTGGTGTCCACTGGCAGGCAGTTCTTTACTTGTTGTTGGTGGTTTTTCTGGCCGAGTTGTCGGTGGTGGTCGGTTCAAGAGTCCTTTAAAATGATCGGCCCATTGTTTAATTTGTTTCTCCTCCTTGGTGATCACATTCCCTTGAGCATCTTTTATTGGTTTCATCATCTGAGTTGATCTCTTCCCTGATAGATAATTGGTTATCTGATTTAGTGTCCTGACGTCCCTTTTGCCTGTGGTCTGTTCTGTTTCAGTTGCCGGCCAGTGTGTCGTAGAATTGTCGTTTGTATTTCCTACCATTCTTCTTCACTTCTTTATTCAGTACAGTGTACATTGAACTCAGCTTCACCTTCTATTGTCCATCTCTGCAGTGAGTCATCTCTTTCACAGTCCTCCTCTCTTCTGTTAGCTTCCAGGTATCCGTTGAGAGCCACTTCTTGTCTTGTCTCTTCCTTCTTCCTAGAACAGCTGTACATGTTTCCTTGAACATCACCTTCAGAGTGTTCCAATGTTCTTCCACACAGGTCTCCTCAGTGATATCACGTAGTGTATTCGGCTTTGCTCTGATATCTGTGGTGAAGGCATCCCTTATAGTTTTGTCCTTCCGTTTCTGAATGTTGAACTTGAGTGGTGGCCTGTCCCCATTTGTTTTCACGGATTTCAGACTCACCTTGAAGGTTCTTTGAACTAGATGATAGTCTGAGTCCACATCTGCTCCCCTTCTCGACTTTGTGTCCAGCAGGCTGCGTCTCCACTTCCTTGAATAGCATTGATATGACATCTTCTTGGTTTGTGCGTCAGGTGAAATCCATGTTGCTTTATGTATATCCTTGTGTTTGTACATGCTCCCTCCGATCACCAAATCGTTGAAAGAGCAGAAGTCTGCGAATAATTCTCCGTTGTCATTCATTTCTCCGAGAGCCTCTTGACCCATGGTGAGTTGTCTTCCTGTGTTATCTGCTCCCAGTTTGGCTTGCATTCATATCGCCCTTGAGGATTTTGTTGTCACCATTTGGGATGTTGTCCATTACTGTTTGTAGTTGCCTATAAAAATCTTCCCTCTTCTCTTGTTCCGCGTTGTTTGTATGTTGTGCATATCATTGGATAATTGTAACCTTCCTTCCTTTTGAGTTGAATCTTGCTGTCATGATCCTGGATGATATTGTTTCCCAATACATTAGGGCTTTGGTTGCCACTGGTAACATCATTATAGCCACTCACTGCCTCAGTGTGTTCGTGGTTGTCGTCTGAGTGACCAGACCAGAGTAGATTGCTGACTCTCCAGTTGACAATTGGGACAATCCACATGCGTTTCACCTGCTTTTGCAAGTACCCAGCACTTCTATGCCATATCTTCTCATTTCTTTGGCTACCTGGGCAGCTTTCCCTGTCTCGTACATTGTACGGACATTCCACGTTCCGATTCTTATTCTTGCTTTCATCGAGAGAAGACACATCGGCTGACTGGCTTCTCGAAAGCTGGCTTTCACCAGCCCGCTGTGTCATTACGCCTCTCCGATTCGAGCGAAGAATGAGATTTTTATTTGAAGTTTTTGTATTTTTCGTATATCTTTTGTGTGTTGAAGTTTCTCCAGCGGTTTGATAGATTTAGTGGTGTGGGGTTGCTAGCCATACACCCCAACCCTTCCTCTTTACCCGGGCTTGGACCGGCTAGAAAACTAGCGAGCTGGTTAACTAGGTGAGGTTAAATATTGCTTAGTGAATGAGGAATATTCTTTTCGATAACTTCGTCTTAATCAGGTCCTACAGTTACATGCTGATAAAGATTTACTGTTGTCGACAACATTTATATTATCAATAACATTGGAATAATAATATCAATAGATTACAGTTCATAAGCATCTGTAAGTGATAATATGCATAAAAATATAATATTAAACTGAATATCAGATGAATTGCGAGAAATAACACAGAATTTGTGAATTTTTCTTGATTCTACAGCAGGCCATTGACTAGACGTATTTCTTTTGCACACGCAGCTCTGGTTGTTTTAAGCGAATTGCAAATTAACTTCTCTGTTTAGACTGTTGGGTATGTAGAGGGCTTTGGTATTCACTAGATGATAGAAATGCCATCTTTGTAGCCTGTTGGTTCGACGTGATCTAATATAGAACTGTCGATGATTTTAACTACACCACAGGTTGTAGGGTGTTCCTGAACACGAGAAACTAAGTTCCTAGAGCAACGGCAAATATAACCAGCTCCACAGGAGTAGGTAAATTGATAAATACAATAATAATAATAGGGCGCTAGCCTAGGTATTTCGTCTTTTACATTTTTGGAATCACAATCGGTTTTGTTGAAAATGTGAGTTGCAGCTTAGTGATAGTAAAAGTCCTTTGAATCGATCTTCTCAGCAAGTTGAATAGTATTTCGCTTGATCCTGTTCCTATTTCTACCCTGATCTGCTTTACAATCTATAAATGCATTAATTCTCTACTAATGATTTCTTTAATTTATCTGATATTCAGTTTAATATTACTTTTGTATATATATATATATATATATATATATATATATATTGCTAATTCCCAGAAGTTTTGAATTCATGGCCTGATCATCGGATTTCATCCCAGTGTCTGATTGGTTATGAGACGCACCTAATAACCTGATGGTGTAGTGTAGCAAACTAGGGTGTGAATCAACTGTTTCAGTGATCGACTGCCTTGTTTTCAATAGTTCCCAAACTGTAACATCAGTTCATCATCCAGCTTTCCAAATGTATGTGTGTTTGATCTTTATAATTAAATTCAATATTTTACTTTTTTTACTCACTGTGTCCCACAGGTACAAAACAGCATCCTAATGAAAATTACTTTCGTGCTGGATTTGGTGAATACTTTTGTGAAGTACAAATACCACCGTCAGTACAATCAGATAATGACGATGGTGTTATCAATAGTAGTGAGTCAGAGAAAATTGGATTAAACGATACAGGCCCGTATATACCCGTCACAATGTTTCCAACATCTTCAACAACAAAAGCAACGACACTGACTCCAATCTCTGACAATAAACTGCAACATTCGAATTCTAAAGGTAAGTCTCCTTTAGTTTAATTATTAATTTCTTCATTTCAGTTACACAATACTACTTGTTACAGTTTCTTTATGATCAAATGAATAATCATTTTTTAATGATTTTTCGAAATGTATCATATGGTGGTGTTGTTATACAATGGTTACGAAGTTGTATTGCACTTTCTCTCTCGTAAAAAATGTCTTTCATAAGGAAAAACAGTCTTTATCCAGCGAAAAACATATTTAAGTATTGGTTTGCAGGGATTTCATTGGTTTCAAGGTTTCATCATAAACTGACATCGGCTAGAAGACCATTAGGAAACCTGGGAAGTCGTGACCAGAGGGGTACAGCAGGTCGGTTGTGAGGACAACTACTCGCTGGTGGCATTCGCTAGTGGTTGCGCCATACCATGAATTGGCAGAAGTTTGGATTTATGGACTGGCTGTTGGATCGCGTCCCATTGGCTTAATGGTCTACGAGCTCGCTTGTAACCAGGAGGTCCTGGGTTCGGACCCCTGCGACGGGTGCGTACTGATGAAGAGTCCCAAACTGGGATGAAGCAGCTGCCCAGTACTCCCAGGTTTTCCAGTGGTCCTCTAACCGATGTCAGTTTATGATGAAATACTGAAAAAATATTTCTTAGCTTAACGACGTTACTTTCAATTTCTGCATAATCTTATTTATATCACGAAAAGAAGCATTAATTAGCACTAAAATTTATTCTGGTCCACAATGTAGGCGTGGGTTCGTATCCCACCTCCAACACACGCTTTTGTGCGTCGGTGACATAGCGGTTAGGACTCACATGGTCCGGGGTTCGATTCCCGACCGAAGCATTCCTTTACCTCACTAAGCCAGAACTAAAGCTGGTGAAGAGGAAAAGTTGGGCATGAGGCTAGCAACCCCATCCTGTAAGATAAACACTGCTACAGAAACTTCAAGCCTCTAGCTTGAAGACCTATATTCCACTGGGAACGTGAAGGAATAAAAAAAAGTTTACTCAGTCAATGTATACATTTGATAAAAATAAAGATAATTAACATGACTTTTTATTTTGGGGGTTGGGTGGGTGGTTGGTTGGTTAGAGTTGAATTGAATGGCTTACAAAATTTTGGAAGATCATTAAATAAGCGAATGGGTATTAATTAAGGTTTTAAAAGTAGGTCAAGTGGTGTTAAAAACTTAAAAGTGAGATGACAATAACAGTCGGGATCCTCTAGGTAGAAAGAGAAATCTTTCTGCTACAGGATTTCGAAAATCTGCTTTTTGCATACAGTCGATAAAGAACTGGAAATTCTTCACACAACAGATATACTTAAATTTTTGAAAGAATAAAGAAGAAACTGCTCCCAATCAAATCACAGTGTGGCGTTTGCTACTGATAGGATTCATCAGTAGTATATATAGAGATGTTCATCGGTATAAAAACATTAAATAGCAGGGAGACTGATTTGATGTCAGAGAAAGCAAATGATACAGCTTTGTGGAGATACACGGGAGACGTGGAAGGAACACAAAACAAAACACAATATGAAGGAGTTGCGGAGGATTAGCACAACACGGAAGATCCGTGCAAACGGTGATTTGATGATGTGTACTTAATTTCGCTATATATACAGATACCAAATTGCAAATATACATTCCTTAACAAGTCTTTCGTCTTCTACTGTTACAATAGTGCCAGAGGCGAAGACACTTTATGAGTTTGGCATTCAAAGTTGACAATATTGCTGTGATTCAAAATTAAGGTCTATCCTAGTGTATTAAATGCCCTTTTTATGCCGCTGACTTACACTTAGTTATTCTCCAGAGGAAATATGATTCGACAATGCATTAAGGAAAAAATACCGTTTATGTCCATCTCTATGTGTGTGTCTAGTCTGTCACATACTCCTCTGGGAGCTGATTACATTGGATGTGGTAAGCGTATTCCTCCAAGACGCGTAGCTGAATACTACTTGGTTTGGTTGACAAAGTCTTCTATCTGTGAACACCTAGAGTCAAGTCTCTCAACCACACGTGATTTATCCTTCAGCATTATCCACACAGCTAAATTCAACCATTCTGAAAGTTAATGTCTCCTCCATTTATGCACAGCTGAGGTACTTAATAGTATATAGACAAAAACTTGAACTGTGTATCTATTCAAAAACGTTTTGTTAATTCCCCTTTTTTCAAACGAATTAATTCCACTTCACTTTATCTCCGTCATCATCATCATCATCATCATCATCACAATTTGACACCACTTGATCTACTCTAAAAATCTTACTGCTTACTTAATAATCTTTCAAAATTTTGCAAAAATTGCAAATCTGCCGTCCGCCCGCCCCCTTTAAACGCTTATGTTAATTGTCTTTATTCTTATCGTGTATACATGTGTTGGGCTATTTTTAGTTCTATTTAATGCCTTTTTCTGCAATATTAATACGAGTGTATAGCTTGAAAGTGAAGTCGTTGAATTGAGAAATATTTGTTCGCTCAACAAAAATCTTTTTACTTTTTAAGTTATGATAGCGAAGACTAATGTGAATTTACATACAGGAGAAGCAGAGATTAATACTAGGTGGCAATTGCTTAACATTTGAAATTAATAATAATTTATTTGAATATCTACACTAATAAGCAATAATTTCGATTATGTATTAACTGACTGACTCATCCACACGTGCAGGCATATAAATACTACACTTTTTATTGCTTATACATTTTTAGACTTATTATTTCATATTTTATTTGTTATTGTTTTTTTAGGAAAACATTCTAGAATAAATTAGAATATATAAAATAATAAAAGTGTGTTTATTATCTTGTTTATTACTGTGAGCATGTAGGTGTGGGGTGTATGCTTTGTACTCCTCTGCCTTCTTATGTGTATGTTGTTATAAGTCGGGAGATTTTAGTTAGTGAACCACGGAAGGCATCAATTTACTGGACAGCTGTCTCGACACCGGTTTCCGATGACTCTATCACAAAGTCACAATTCATGCGCTGTTGTATTCACTTCCCAATAGGCTTGCCTTGTAACCTAAAACCCCTGAGTTCGGTCCCAGATGGGATCATTGGTGCGTACTGTTAGTGAGTGCAAAACTAGAGCGAAACAGCTGTACAGTTAAGTATCTGACTTTGAATGGTTTTCTAATTGATATCGATCTGTTATCAATCTTAAAGCCAATCAAATCCTCACAAAAATTCGAAACCCATAATAATAATAATAATAATCAGGATTGTTGTTATTATTATTATGGACGAGACTATAAGCTTATTATTCAACGCCTCTTTTCAAATGATGTTGGTCTGTTTGTTCATCTACATGTGGATGTGTGTGTGTGCCTTGAGTGAGCCATTCTTCTTATCGATTACGGTAATGACTGTCATAAGAAGTAGAAAATGTTAAATTGGCAAGACATCCAAGGATAGGATAGATAACACAACAGCCTTTTTCATGTTTCAAGGTGATCGATACCAAAAATTAATTTAAATAATTAGTAAACTGGCTTCCAACTTCATTTTGAAATGCCCTCACTAATTCAGCAACGTTTTCTATGTCCTCTGGTTAAAGCATTATTACTGGCTACATTGAGAGTATCGAAACGTGCTGCTTCAGAGTCCCAAACATGGACGAAACAGTACACTGTGTAATGTGCTCTGCTGGTTTTCAGTGTTTCTCTAACTGATGTGTCAGTTTATGATTAAACCTGAAATCAATTGATTGACGCCAAATGTAATACACATCTACCTTATTGTTGTTGTATCATTTCACAAAACAAGCCATTATCAATGTATTTTAGTAATTTCATTTTTTTTCCTTTTCTACTTTTATTTATGTTTATACGAAGTATGATAACTTGAACTGATGAGTTTGTGTAACATGTTCTACGTCATTAAATCTGTCAGTCAGTCAGGCAGTCAGCTGACAGCTGCCAATGATAACAATGTCTGATAATCCTAGCACATTGATAAGTTTGCGAATGATTCACTTTAGCACACATAGTTTTGAACCATCATTTTAATTTTAATAACAATAATAATAATGAATTATTCATTAATTTATTTTTACTTCTGTCCTACAGGATTCATTGTGAGACCTTTGATTCGATGAGTTATCTTTGTTGTGACTTTTAGTGTATACCTTTCAATTTGATAAGATTTGTTTATTGTATTGTTCAACTGTGAAGAGGTGACATTTTAGAAAAGAATTTGTGAAGTCTATAGATTCTACGTCTATATATATATATGTATATATATACATATATTTGGTGAGTGGATTGATCATGAGGTTGTACATTGTCATCGACTGAGGTGACAAAACCACGTATTATGTACTCGACAGTCTTTATAGACTAGTTAGGAATGGTTACACCAAAATATAGAAAATAACCCTTGAAGTCATTTGACTAGTGATCCCTCTTGATTGAGGTCATCTGGATACTAAGAATCATACGTTTTTTTTTGTTTTTGAAATGGTTGATTATCGTTTACTATTATGCAGACCTTTTCAGTCAGTCAGTTAGTCTTTGTCATCTAGTTTTTAACTAGCCTGGGTTTAATTTCTCTGTCTGTCTCTCTTTCTCAAACGCACACCTTTCTTTATCACAGTTTCACTGAATTCCTTTCCGACCCCTTTTAATTTATGCTCCTTCTCAGTACATGTGGCAACTCGAACCGACGCACTTTCCCACTGAGTTAGTTTTGTGTTAATCCGTTGGTCAGAAATTTGCTTTAGTAAGATAAGGTGAGGATAGGTGTTTCTACGCTTTTATGGGAGCGAAGATTTCGTTAATTTGCTCGACTGAATTTTCATTTCATTCCTTTAAGTATGTTGATAATTGCTTTTTAATTTCTGACCTTTTCTCTGAAGGATAATCTATTATTTTGGATCTTACTAAAATAAGTGGAAATAGATAATAAATAACGAACGATATTTGTTCCAAAGTGTAAGTGAAGCTAGACTGCAAAGGAGCGAGACGGTTGTCCGTTGTTTAGATCACTTCGATTTGGTTAGCAAGCACAACTGG